GTGACCGGCATCTTCAGAGTGCAGGAGCACAGACAGGAGCAGTTCTCTCTGTGCCCTGTGCTTAAAAGCTCTGTGCTTAAAAGTGAAGTTCACATCTGCAAATACATGGTAGAGACACAGAAGGGAGTTATGGCAAATTTGAGTTCCTTGGTGGTATCAAGTGTTGAAAGAGACCCAACCACTTAGAATAAAAACATTCAGATACTCAACACAGAATGCACAATATACACATTGCTAACTTGTCTGCTATTTAAAATGCTGCTAGAGCATAAGCATGCTAATTTGCAATAGGAGGTGTGTGTTTATGTATCTTTACCATTAGATGTTTTTGGCATTTTTTCATGGTTAGAACAATAACAAGGTCTTACAGGAGTTGCGGTCATAGATATAAGATTTGGAATCCATATATCCCATATCAAGAAATAATCTCCAAGCCTGAAAGGATAAGTGGTGGTGGTGGTGGTGATCTAGTAGTTAAAGCTTTTCTGCCTAGGAGAGGAGTGGAACTAATCAGCCTCCCAAATCCTGTCCGCTCAACTGAATACAGCAATGTTTTAACATCACGCCCGTTATAAGCCAGTCAAGTTACTAAGATGAACCAGGCCTAGGCTATTGAAATGTTTTCAGTGTAAAAATGATCCTTAATTCTATTGTAAATCTTTTTCGAAGATCTCAGGTGTATTTTTACCCCCATTTGCTTTATTTGTGAGAATGGAGAGTGGAGGGAGAAGAAAAATAGTTTTGTTTGGTTATCTGTTCAAAGCTGTGAGGATAGAGCTGATTCTAAACCTTAAATAAATGGATTTACTAAGAAAATAAACTTTGCCACTGTATTTTCTAAATACTTGGGGAAGTATCTTGCCTGCCTCGCCCTTTACATTAAATTCATTAATAAGGCTTATACTAAACAATTTGCACCAATTTGTGGTGTAATTGTATAAATAGCTATTTAATATAGGCTGAAAATATTTCATGTTGAATTGGTTTTAGAGGCTTTAAGAACAATGACATTTGAATCAAAGCTGCTCTTTCTGAAAGATGCTAGGGTTCTTTTTCCACCTTTGCATGTAAAAGCCAAACCTGTACAGTTAGAGAGGGGTAGCTACCAAATGTGAAACACAAATCATCTCCTTTTTGTTGCCTTGTATAATAAATCGTCATGCACTTTATTAAAATCAATACAATGATTTAAAGAGACAAATCTATATTTTAATTATAGTGGTGGTGGTGGTGGTGATGATGATGGAAACTTAGAGAAGAATGCTATCTTTTTATTCCTCTGTACATCTTTTGGCTTTTTTTCTAACATAAAGATCTAATATTTAAATATAATATTCCAGAGCTTTAATAATAAAGAATGATTGAATACTGTTTTTGTAGTTTTAATGCAATGCTTGGTTATCTTATTAATAAAAAAAATGGGAAGCCTTTTGAGTGATTGATTTATGTGCTTTCTCAGAAATAAATCATTTAAGTGCCCTGGGATTTATTTCCACTTAGCATTGGCAAATCAGCCTGTCTCTCAAGGAGGAAAATTATTTATTTAAAAATATGTGAACCACAGTTTGATCCAAAAAAGAGATTACAGGTAGTCCTCATTTAGCAACTACAATTGGGACCAGCAACTCAGTTGTTAAGCAAAGCAGTTGCTAAGTGAAACTGTGACTCTGCTTATGATTTTACTTCAGCTTTCCTTTGCTTTACAGATCTGCAAAGGTCATAAATGGAAGGATTGGTTGTGAAGTTACTTTTTCATCACTGTTGTAACTGCAAACGGTTGCTAAATGAGGCAGTCACTAAGCAAAGACTCCCTGTATACAACTATTAAACCAGCTAATCATAGTAAACATTAATGACTGGGGCTAACCTTTCTTCTCTTATGATACAATGAACAGTAAATTGCCCAAAGATCAGCCATGATGGCCCAGCCCATGTGCCCACCATTAAAATCAATTACTGTAGATTGGTGGGCAGAAAGAGCAGGAGCCCCGTCAAACAGCAAGTAACAGGATTGCGCCATGGGTTCCCTTTATCATTTTGGCAGCCACGGGGGTTTCTCTAAAGCACCAAGTGAGCAGATTCTAGCATTTGTTACATCCCAAAGCTGGAAAAACAAAGCACCAGGTGAACAACTGTGGTACAGGCGTGCATGGGCTTGAGTGCTTTTCCCAGTAATCAGATAGAGTGACCACTGGCTGACTTGGGTAAGGCTCTCAGCATTTTGAGGTTGGGCCTAATCTGAAAAGCTTTCTAAGGATTGGAGGAGTGGAAATTATATCAATTGGAAGGAACCATAAAAACTTCCTAAACATACATATGTGCATATACGGTTTTAGGTTCAGTCTCCTGATACAGTTGCTTTAAAGGTTTAATGCTGCTTGTATAAACTGTTTCTAAATACTGAATAGCATGAGGAATAAGATGGCACCTTGAAGTTAATGGGCAAAGCTCTCCAGAATTACATGCTGAGACTGCATGCCTATATGTGCCCCTTCACCCCCTTCGTGAAACCACTGGGGGAAGTACTGATAGAAGAGAATATATGTTTTTTACTGGAGGAAGTAATTTGGAGATCTGGTCTGAAGCATCAGTGGGCTCATCCTCACATCCTGCTACCCATAGCGTGAAGATGCTCCACTAACCATTTCTAAAGGATATTTCCACAGGATACTGCCAACCACAGAGACAGTTTAAATTCATCTTCAGCTGTCCCAGTTTTACAGTGCTGCTTTTCTCCTTGTAGTCTCGCCATCTACACAATCTACAATGCCTCACTGGTAGGTGGGTTGACGCAGCCAAAGGCCTGAATATGTCTAGCTCCTTCAGGCACATCTCTCCTTAAATGCTGGTCACTGCCCTCCGTGGCCATTTAGCTTGGAATAGGCTAAACTTGGACAAGTTAACTATGAACCTCAATTTGCATGCATTTTCCAATAAGCAATTTTAGAAATTCCGCCCAAAGCAATCCAGCACCTGGAATTCACCACCTTAGCTAAAAGTGGTAACAAGTGAAAGCATTAACCACAGGAATGCCAGCTAGCCACGCCAGTTCACAATAAGCGCTTGAGAACCACTAGCATTAAGCACTGGGAACCAAGGTTCTTTGGATAATGGTTTTGTGAAAATAATAATTTGGTTATAATTCTAAGCCCCCCTTTTTTTAAATTGGACTTGTATTGCATTGGGGAATATCACGTATAGGGAAGGTATGTTGGGGAAGTATGATCTAATTTATACACCACCCTCAATATATTATTGAATATAATATTCAATATATTAATATGCATGAGGATTAACCCAATCAATAAGATTAACCTTATGAATCACATTGACTGTAATGGCAAATTGCATTGTTAATTAACTGTAAATGTGATATAACCAATCAAATGGACATGATACTTTGCAAAATATCATGCAAAATAAAAATTGCTTGTGATCCCACTCCTCTTCCAGGTCTTTGCTTCCTAACCTCCAGTACTGTACCTATCAATAAATTTATGCTTCAATGTAATTGTGTCTAATTGGTTTAAAGTATCCCTATTTTTTTTCTTTAAGCTGCAGGAAAGATCAAATATAAGGCTTCTGTAGAGGTGGGTGCCCACATAAGGCCTGACCGGTACAGCACTTCAAAATGTACCAATCAAGTGGACTCCGTATATTAACGAGCAGAATTCTTCTGAAAGGACATTAGATCTGTTTTTAAACACAAGTGTAGCACTTGATCCATGTTTAAAAATTTAGTCTTTGCTAAATTTCCCCATGGCTGGCTGGGGAATTCTGGGAGTTGAAGTCCACACGGCTGAAAGTGGCCGACGTTGAGAAACTCTGCTCTAGGATATATTAAAAGTAAAGGCTTCAGAAGTGCAATTGGTGGCGGTGGGAGCTTTAAAGGCTCATTCATTTTTTAAATATTTTCACTGGCTTCAATTACTTTTTTAAAACATGACTTATTAGTTTTATGCCGCCACCGCCACCCCTTTTTTTATTTTTTATTCAGGAGCTCAAGACAACACACAGAGCCGTAAAACCTGTGAAATAAACGGGGCTGAGCGCGCGGGCGTCGACTTCCTCGTACGCGTGTGGACTTTTGCCCTGAAAGACAGCTTTTTTTTTTTTTAAAGAAACAACTGATTTGTTGTGGGTTTTTTTATCCCGCTGTTTTTCACACCACAAGCGAGTTTTGCCAGGCGCGTCCCTGGTCCTGCTTACACACGCGACCGCAAGCTGGGTCCGTAAATGGTCCCGTTTTCCTTTACAAGAAGCTGGAAGAGATTGCCGGCGGTGTGTGAGGATTGCACAGCTTTCGATGCTGCGCGATGGCGGATGTTGCCCTTCTGTTTGCGTTAACTTGAACGTCTGCGGGATTTCTCCTTCCCCGGGGAAGGAGGCCTCACGAGGGAGGCGGTCGGGGAGAAGAAAACCGACGCGCCCCGCCTCGGAGGAATACGGTAAAGGCGCGCCAGCCCTTCTGGCGGCGGAAATCGGGCCCGGGCAACCCTCGCCACGCGCATGCTCCGTGTCCTTGCTTGGGCTCCGCGCGCGACTCGGGGCCTCATGCCGGGCTCCAAG